AAAAAAAGAAAAGAAAAAAAGAAAAGAAAAAAAGAAAAATAATAATAATCGATTCCACTGTGCCATACCCCCGAGACATCCGCAGAGCTGAGGCGGCGTATGGACTTCGGACCTGACGGCGATTAAATCCTTCTGCCCTTGGGTGTACGAATTACGCAAGAAAATGTTCTAGCCAAAGCATCAGGGGAGAGACCAGCCGGCCCCCAGACCATATCGGCTAATCCCTTGCATCTCTGCCACGCACGGAATCGGTTGGAAATTTGATGTTAAAAAGTCTAGTCTATCTGGTTCATTGTTTTCACGGCTATTGTTATGCTGATTCACCTGGAAACGTGGTCCAGTGGAAAAAGACTTGGGCTTTCATGACACTGACTAAAGTCCGGTTGAGCGAAGTTAGTACCTGGATGGGTGACCTGAAACTTGTGTCTACTCAAAAAAGTTTCAATTTTTTTTTCGTAACTTGATTAAAATCAGTTTTATTATAAAAATCGTCAAAGATTAAAAACTAACTGCCGCGCATGTAATCCATGACCGGAAGTCTGTAGGTCATCCTTGTCTAGAACTCAGTCCCAATCGGCAAACTATGTACTTATCGTTTGACATACACAACTTGTCCATCTAACAAGCAGCAACCATTTTCTTATTTGATGAAAACTAGCTTGCTGCATGTCATTAGTGGGCCACGATAAACAAGCCAGCAACAACTGTTTTTTTTATTTTGGGCAACTTGGCTATAACATGCAGCAACAGAACTCATTTCTTATTTGCAACGACTGGTTTCTTAATTATTTGCAGCAACTCGTCTCAGCATGCGCATCACTTCTTCTAACTTGCTGCATATCCCTAATGGGCCATCTTAGTTTTACGCTCATGCGGCTTAAAACCAATTTAGGAAATGGGTCGTTTTCTAATATGGGTGATGATGTCGTCATTCCCACGTAATTTATGACGTCATATTTCATAACAATTTAGAAAACAAGCGTGTATTTGGTCGGGTTTGACCCAAAAATAAGCGACATTTTAGCTTAGTTGAACTGCAAAATTGAATGCTTTACGTAGTCCGAGTGACCTTGATCAAGTGATGGATAAACACGCGCGCGTGAAACACACGTGTAATTAATAGTCGAGATCTGGGAGTGGATCGATGATTGCGAACTCTGATAACCACATGTCAACTTCATAAGTCAAAGTCAATTTTGAATATTAATAAAAATTTAAAAAAAACGAAAAAAATTCTTATGATAAATCCAAAAAAGTCTAGCTGGAAAATTCGTTTGTGAATGCTTTAAAATCTTTGAAAAAAAGACAATTATTACAGCGGGCGGTGGTTGCTGAAATCAATCGTTTATTATTATTATCATAATGTATTGATTTTGAATTCCTAGCCAATAAAATACGTTGTCGTAAGGTTGTCGTATACTCGATAGCAAATTGAAAAGAGTCTTGAACGCGGACACAAGAATTGCTCCATGTCGCCTTTGCGCGCTGTCGCCAACACCGATAAGGAATTTCGCGGCTGATCGAGCGGCTCTCTCGTGCTTGGTCTTATAACATGCATTTATTAACCATAAACATACGTCATGACGGTACGAAACGATCATCAGACTTACTTCAAAACTTAGAAGGGCGAATGAAATGAGTTGTTAAAAAGTACGTCTTTGGTTCAATTTAAGACAATTGCTATACAGGTATCTGAATCTATGAAATCTGAGTAATTCCTGAAAAACTGAACTGAAGTGTGGAAAGGTTTTGCTGCCTTTAAGACAATTTGCACATATACAATACTGAAAAACATGTGCACTAACCGGGCATTAACTACTAAATAAAAAACGGCTCCGCAGATACCACTGGGGGAGTCAACTCATCAGAAGGCTTTAGTTAGTTGTCAACAACCTGAGACAGTGGCTATTTCAGGTTAGTTAGATTGTCATTATACATCAGTGCACAGTATTCACATGGCATTTAATCTGGGCCAGTATTTGCACCTAATTTGACCCGTTGTAATAACTCAGCCAGTCGGAGCACTAAAGTRAAACTACTCTAATAAATGGGTTTTTAGACAATTAAAATTGTTTTTTAAACTGTGATTGATAAAATATTACATGTAAAAGTCGCTGCAGTCTCCCTCGAATTTTCAAACTTTCTCCTTTTAAAACTTGCGTCGCAGCAATAAAATATAAGGAACATTTATCATTTTCGTACTACACGCACAACTGGTMTTTGGAACAAGTAGCATGGTTGGTTAAGTCCAGTTAAAAATTATCAAGATTTACACGTAATGTCTCGTATGCGCCAAACCAGAAAATTCGCAGCTTAACAGGTTTTGGTACGTTCTCTTTTTTCTAATTCCTCCAACGAACCAGTGTGCTGATGAGGATAATGATGGCGCCAGGCCTCAGGAGGGACAACAGTTACTGCAACTGGCGAATGATGAACAACAAAATCACTAACGCTGCCTAAAACGGTCCGACGAAGTGTTCCAAGGCCACGTGCACCAATGACGATCAGATCAGCCTTTTCTTCGTTCGCTACGTTGATTATGGTGTGGTCCGGTCTCTCATCTTTCAGTATCAAACGATGTTCGATCTAAAAAAAGCATTAGATAAGACCATAAGACCACTCATGTTATTTCTAACATTGATGTATTTAAGAAATATAGAGTTGTTAGGAATTGTGTGGTTTCATCACGGCAGCTACCGGGCAAAACGATAGATTATAATTTTCCTTCTCAAAATCTGCATTGTTCCCGGCTACCGGTACCCTTCAACATGGTTGCAAATGTGAAAGCACATCAATACCAAACGAAATGTTATTTCAATACCGATTCAAATTAATCTTAAGAAAAATAGAAATACAAAAGACAGAACCTGGAGAAAGTGTTAGAGAGGAAACGTGCATTAAAAATGTATTAAATTGCAAAAAGGATTTCTTCATGAAGATCGAAGTCCCAAAAAATGCTTTTTTTTCAAGTAAACATGTCTCGCCGTGAAAGTAACATCAATATAAAAGTGATCAGTKAATATTCGATCTCATAGTATAGTTTTCTTACTCCTTTTTGTTTGCAAGTGGCTCCAAAATGATGAAGCAGTACTTTTCCTTTCGTACGTTGTTTGTCTGCCTCTGCTCTCCATTCTCCGTAATAATCGTACGCATCTACGAAATTAAAAACACGCAAACCTGAATGGAAGTTATTTCATGGTTCCAACTCAGAACAAAAGAGCTTTGAAATAATTGTAGTCAACTGCACTGCGCGCCGGAAACATGCAATTAACAATTCGTTATTTTTCAGCCAGGCAAAATGACGGTTTTGTAGATGGAATTTGATCGAGAATCCAGCTCCAACGGTCTTGTTATTCCTGCTAGACGGTTTTGTGACCATCGCTATAGAGGTTTTGTTAGATGGCTGGAACAATAAAATCATTTTACATGAGAAAGAATTTAATTCCCGAGAGTAAAGGGACTTTATTATTCTGTAATTTTACCACAGGCAGTCCAAGCTGTATTATGTTTGCGGCACGTGATGCTGCAAAACCTCTATTTAAGCAGGGCATCGTGGTTGACTAGGACTCTTTAAGTGTGACGTCAATCCGTAGAAAAAACGACTTCCACAAAAAAAAAACAGTTCTAAAATGAAGAACCTTTTTCCATGAGAAGGTTTGTTGTCCACTTTTCAATATATGATTGTTTCAAGTGGAGGTTTAAATTCAGTTGYGAACATTTTCCCGCTCAATTTAGCGGTTTTTCTGAGCAGCTGACCCGGAAATACGTCACAACTCTATAGCGAACCAGTCACCTTTTTGCAGACGTTTTTCCAGTGCAACAGCGGGTAAACATGTTGTCTCACAAAACAACCGGTTTTGAAGGATATTAAAATAAGTTAAGCTTAAAGTTGGAAAGCATCGGTTAATTTTATTTTATTATTGTCAGCTGAACAGGAGACGCGCAGGGTCTGAGACTGGAGAGAGGAAAACGTCTTGCGCATGCTAGAATATCAACGGGAAATTAAATAGTGAATGGTTTGTGTAGCAGGATATACRATCCATAGAGATTAGTAAAAACGTACCTAGATATTAAAAAAACTTTTCAAGCTAAACCAAAGTGCTATTTTTAGAGCGTTGTCATGTGACGTCACAGCTGTCAAGTTGGTGAACCAAAACAATACATGTTCTATCCTCAAGATTTGACCTCCATTTTTCTCCAAAAATTATGCAAAAAGTTTCTATTGCCTGGTACACCAATATGGCTGCCTTTTCGTTGGATGCATGTAGATCTGGGGTCTTGGTTTCGATTCCTGGACCCGGCATCACATGTGAGTAGGGTCATATGTTAGTTTCTCCATAGTTAAATAAAGGGGACGGTCCCCTCATCTCCCTTGATTCGAGGGTTTTTCTCCGCGTTCTCCGATTTTTCTTCCTCTACAAAATTTAACACCCTAAATCCCCAYTCGATATGCGAGTTAGCCGTGCCCTGAAGTTGCCTTGCTTAAATGAAATTGGCGTTCAATTGTCACATTCGCCGAGTCGCTGTAAATACTGTAAATACTTACAAGGAAAGCGTTTTTCAGGCATTGGAGGCATTTCAATGCAGTGAACCACTAATAACATATCTTCATCTTTGCATAAATGATCACAGTACCCTGTAAATACACAAAAGACAATTATATCATCGACGAAAGCCGGCAAACGTCGACGACGAATACGACTACGACTGGACGTCGGACCAATCTCTTGTACGCATCGTTGAGCATGCGCAGTAAGAAATAAGGGCTCTGGGTACGAGATTGAATCGGACCTTATATGTCTAATGTACTGCACATGTCTGTACAAGTAAAATGTCTTTAACGACGGTATTTACAGTTTAAAGCCGTTCACATAAAAACGCAATTAGTTAATTTACTTTAATTTTTTTTTAATTTTTTAAATATTCCGCCAGAAAACAAATTTCTCCCCAGTCTTTTTCAACCATGACGTCATTACACTGTCGTTAATTATATTATCTTCCTTTTGTTGTACGAAAACAGGCAGGTTCAGTGCGAGCTGGAGAAAAATATTTATTTCAACTGAGATATTTACTTTTCATGTCAAAAAGAGCTTCATCTCGAATAAAGAGCGCGACATAATAAATATCACTGTCGTTGCTAACGGAAGTTCGAGCTTTTCCGAGTGCCTTTCCGAAGAAGCGAAAAATTCATCGGTCTTAGCTCGTCTGCTGGCAGAAAAAACAGCTGCTAAAGAGTAGATAAGAGTAGACATATTTTTCCTATGACAAATTTTCGTTTTTCCGGGAACGCTAGAACCTTTAATACGAAATTCTTTCCATTTTTTTCACTTTTCTTTATTGGACGAACCAGGTGCTTCATTATCGATATATTTATCAGTGAAAGGCCTAAATATGAATATTCCTTGGATATTTTATTAAAAGTATACATCAATATGAAAAAATCTTAATTAAACTACAAATAATTTAACGTCCAAACCTCAATAGTGCACATCAGTCGTTTAATGTCAAACAAACTCGCGCCGCCTTTGCCCGATTCCTTTTTTTCATCATTATATTTCAATCGTTTTGTATAATTGTTTACCAGGATCAATTATCTTTCCGTGTTTGTTAGCTAAAATTAATCATTTCCGTGGAAAGTTGGTTCAGGATTTCTTGTTTGTTATTCATTCATTCTAAAACCAAATAAATTGGTCTCCAAACTACCGGCTTAATAAACTTGACTTCGATGAACTGTTTATATAAGAAATCAGCAGGGGAGTTTTTTTATTTCCAAAATCAATCTAGGGCTGTCTAGATGGCGCCAAACTCTGAATATACTACATTTATTTGAGTTGCAATTCGTTTTAATGGTCCTTACTGAGTTCTAGTAGATACTAAACAAGGTGTTTGGTTACTGTATAAACTAACTAAACAGCCACCTACTGACGCTTGCACCGCATTAGCATTCTTTCAACGCTGACAACAGAACTTCTGCTTTAGACACTTTCCTCTCCAAGTACTTTATTTGAACCCAGGATCGTAGCCACCGCGGTACTTTTGGGGAGGAAAAAGGAAAAAAAATATTAGAAAAACCGAAAACCATCGAAAACCGGACCAATCAGACTTTTTTGTGGCTACGGCCCTGGAACCATTGTTTTTTCTAAGGAGGTTTTTGGGAGTCAGTTTTCCGCGATGTTCTAATCTCGTGCATGTTTTTCTAATGTTAGTATATGTTTCCTGATACGCACTGAATCTTATCTATCAAAACAAAACAAAATACTGTCGAGTTCCTTCCCGCCTTCTCTTCATGTATCTTTACAGTTTTGTCTATCTGTGCTCCGCACTCGGGAGCAAAATGGTACATTTTGTCTCACTCATTAATTCGACAGGTTTCGATCTGATTTTGCCCCCTGAGTAAACTGGAACGAGAGAAAATTTGCATTACCGAAGTAGCGTATTATAAGCTCAATTTCAAGAAGAGTATTCTTAACTTGTTTAGCTTCTGCACTACAGTTTCTGGAAGTCGCAAGACTTTGAATATTTTGTTCAAAGGAAATAGAAAACACCTATTAATTCATGAATATTGTATTCTGCGTTGACGACATGAACATTTCGAGTGCTATTTCTAGATAAGAAATTTCACGCCTCGGTTTTCCGAATCCTTTTTGCTTATTATTCATAAAGGATATATAACTATTTGCTAAGGTTTTTCAGCAGTTTGGGAACCTTCTTTTTTAGACTAATAGTTGAAACATCTTAACGTGTGCATGACGTGCATCAAATAAGGTCTCAATCGATAATTTAAGTATCAATATAGCATGATCTGACTCTTCACTTACTACTAATATTCATACTTGTAATATAATACTATGGATTATTGACCATAATTTCATATTACATGACATCGATCAAACAATTCCAACCAGACAAGACAAATTAACGCATTTTACTACTTATACTAATACATTTATCTCGACTGTACAATCGTATTGACATTAGTAATATGTAATAAATAATGCATAGTCTACAAGTACAGCAAACACTGTAGTGCTCAGTCGCAATTACCACTTATCTTAATAGTTTCAGTCTGAATATTGATTGAAGATTCATTTGGTGCTATAATGCATGATGATTTGTTGAACGTGACAGTTGAAGCGGGAACGTTTTTTAAGATGATGAATACTGCAAAAAATAAAGAGCGATTCTATGGCATCCAGAACCATTTGGACGAATGAACCAACGAAAATAATGCTGTATTTACTCTTCGTCGCCCTCTCTCTAGATTTCGTCTTTCTTTTTGGATTGGAAGTTTCCACTCAGTACTTCCCGTCTCCCTAGCTTCGGTTTTCTCTTGAATTCCCTGACTATGTGCAATGATATGTAGCTCGATTTATCTCCTTATTCTCTCTCGCCAAGTTCCATATAGAAGAAGCAAGAAGCTATTTCCTATCTCCTAAACTATATTGCTAAAAGAAAGCGTCCAACAGCTATTATCAGATTGAGAGTATTGACATAGCTGGCGAACTAGAATATTAAAACACATTTATATAAATTAAAATCAATGGGAATTTCAGAGTTTGAACCGAGATTTTATTCACACTAAAGGAATAACARCTAGCGGTTAGTTATAATTATTATTTGGCTTGAAATCCTAAACAATTTTTGGTTTGGCCGAATAATGTTACATGTAATGTTCAATGCAGGGATAACCTATTCACTCATCTGCCATCCTTGTTGTTAGAGATATCATTACTGTTGCATTCAGRATTTCATTCAAATTTCGTATTTCCCTTTTATATTAGAAAAATTGGAAGGGACTAGAATAAGAAGAGATAATYGATTTCAGACGGGAGGTTGCACACATTCCATTTTTAAAGCTCACGACAGCCACGCAACCATAACGAAGAAAGCTATTTATGTTTTTAATTCGAGGTACTTTCAAAAGGAAGACTTGTGAACTACTGGTGGCAACAGAATTCACCAGCGTTGAAACTGAAAACAGCATTGCTGATTGAATTGCCTCATAAATATGGAACACAATAGTCCGGGCAGGTGCTGTTGGCTTATGTGCTTGAAGAAAATTTATACTGCATTACGTCTCTTCAAAACACTAAGACTCATTCAGACTGCTTGAATACCTATTTTTCAGTCTTATCTACCTTAATCCAGGAAGAATGAAGTGTGATTCGAACTTTTCCTGTTTTAATCCAAAATCATCGATGTTATTTCCGCTCATCGATAACTGATCGTCGTCGTTCAAGCGAGAGAAAGCTTTCCAGTTGTAACACTAGGTTGAAGTCTGGGCTGAAGTCTAGATATGCCCGAGTGATTAACAATTGTAATATCAGTTCTCACTTCCCGTATAACCAAACTGCCTTCAATAGCCTCAAAAACAGTCAAAGTACTTGTCTGACATTTTATACTGGGAGAAATAGAAAATAAGTTTGATGGGAAAAGAAGAAAGGAAAGACTGGAGAGAAAAAACAGAAACAGTATCGGTCAAAAACACCTTTTAAGCTTCCCTTTAAGCTGTTCAAGATGTATCAACTGCTTTCCTTCGAGAAATGCCCACCTGTTTTCCCGAGACAAATAGAAGGGAGTTCTCCACGCTGTTTTAACCCTCTCGTGTACCCAGCCCCTAGTGACGGCTGTTTACCGATAGTTTAACCTTAAAATCTGTTCCATAGATACTTAATTTGTCGATATTCTTGTAAGATTTTCATTCATTAAGGTATAGGAAATCCCTAAGTAAACTCTTTTATGGCATATAGGCTCGTAAATGATTACCATGAAKGTGTCTGTTTAGTGTACTGCTTCGAGCCCGCTTCTGTTTGTGACACACAACTATGGATATGAATATTCTCACATAACGCAATTTACATGATGTGGGTGTTGGAGTGGAATATGAATAAAATACTTACAATCGAAAGCCTTCTCGCTGTGTTCACTACCATCTACCGGAATAAGAACTGTTCTTCTGCTCATAATTCAAAAGCTCTTCGGCCACACAGAAGGGAGTATTGAACGATGAATTTGTGTACCGACTATGAAGCTACCATCTGCGATGACAACCGAGTTGGTCGCGAGTAACGCTAACACCACGCTGAGAATATACCGCGTTCACAGTGACCAAACAATAATATCTCGGATATTTAACCACAAACCTCTTCTGCTTCTGATGTTGTACTTAGTAATAAACGAGATGGTCTTGGCCCTTTGTAGACAACTCGTTATACTGAATACTATGGGGGCAGTATCATGCAACTAATAAGTATGAACCGGAGAAGGACTGGAGAGAGGAAGAGATGTTGTTATTGTCGCCAGTCTAGCTCCTACGAAAAATAACATAGGAACCCCAATAAAGTTTTAAAAGCACTACTGCAAGAAAATAAAAGCAAGTTTGCTGTTATCCGTCTCATCGAAGAAAAATTTGGTATCCATTCTGCCGACCATGTCAATATGGATACATAGCGAATAATGTCAGGAAATAAGCTATCTTCTCAAGTTCGGATGACTCAAGTTGAACTTCACCTGGCTTCGTGGCATCCAGTCACGCACTGCACTAATACTCGATAAAAACGTCATTACTACAGCTGCACGGAAATAGTGCCGAAACCTGATATGTTTTTGATTCAAACCAAAATCATCGGCGTTAATTCACGAGATTTTCACTCCCTAGTACCCTGATGCATAGTACTAAGTATCTCAGTCGTTATGGTCGATTATTTCCTTGGCTAGCTGGAATCAATTTATTTCTTTGATAAAAAAAACATTTCGATATATATAGTAAAGTAGTATCATATGCCAAGGGCATATGATATTTTTCTCTTATTTCTCTATTTCGATATATAATGATTGATTGAATTATTAGTGAGAGTACAACTAAGTAAGTTGTAAATTTGGTAAGGTTTTTAAAGATTTCTAGAAGTTCTCACTTTTAGCTTTTTTTGAAATGATCAAAGCATTCGCATACTCGACTTAATCCAACTTTATCCTCGCTTTCCGAAATCTTTTTACGTTTAAGTCTTTTTATATGATCTTCTGCCATATCAGTCATGTTCATCTTAACATTGCTTGTTTTCATATTACTTTTTCCCGCCAAGGAAATGTCAACGAATTTTCCCCCAACAACCAAAATAACCACCCAGTGTCTTTATCATTTCAGTTATCTTACATTCGTCTAAATTAATAATTTATAGAAAAAAGAAAACATTTAATATACCCATTTATAAGTTTGATAATTTTTCTCTTGGTTTTTAGGTTTTCCTCCATGCTATTTCTGACTTAGATCAGCTCAGAGGTTGTTTGAGGGTTGATTGAAAGCTAGATTTGTTTCGCTTGGTTACCGTGAGCCATCCGTATGTTGACCTGTTTCATCAGTTTTGTATCGTTAAAATCGGGCATGCTGTATCCTTACTATCATATCTAAACCACTATCTCTAAGAGACTTCCGACTGCTAATATAAAGATGTTTGAATAAAGGAAATTCAAAATACTGATAACTATGACTGGTCTCTAAGCTTTGGTACGAACAACACCATATATGGCATAAAGGACAGGGCTGGAAACCTACTCGCCGCGTGCGTCAAAATGTCCAAAAAAAATAAACAGGCCGCCGAAAAATCTCGCTTCCTCGAATCCTACTAGCAACGGTAACTGAAATTGGTCAAGGTTTTCAGAAGAAGAAAAAGTACCAGTATTGGAAGATTTTTACATACAATAAAAACAAATGTTAGGCATTGGTAGTCTACTTCGCAGCCCGATCATTAGTACCAAGAGAATATGAAGTACTTATTATTCTCTTGTTAGTACTCAATTTAACAGGGTCTGGAAGGGTATTCGCCGTAGCCGGGAAACGAATAAAATGTAGCGCGAGATCAGCGGAAACTAAAAAAAAATGCTACGTCATTCGGGATGATTGGCATCGGTCGTGACTCGGGAATTGCCGAATAGACCTTATTTGTGGAGTGACAATGTTTTCCCAATTCAGCGTGACGAACCTCCAGGGGATTCATTTTMTTTTATTTTTACCCTTCGAAAAATTCATGAGTATCCCAAAGGATACGAAAGGACTAACGATGATATCCCGACGAGTTACCGAAAACAATAGCTCTTCATTCCCCCAGAGGTTTTTCACGCTGAACTGCGAAAACACTGTCACACCACGAATAAGGTCTATTCAATGTCCGGGATGTGGGATTTCGATTTCTGATTATCGGGAAAAACGTGAAAAAATAATTAAACAAAGTAAATATTCATACGCTTTTGAATATTTTGAATTTGTTCGTCGCTACAATTGCAGCAGCACGCGGGATATCAAGAAAAAAATAGCGCGTGATTCGGGACCAGAACTCCCCCCCCCCGCCACGTACAAAGTGTGGTATCAGTCTGCATTTTATAAATATTAAGTAATGAACATCGTAGATTTAGCAATAAAAAAACCTCTTTTTTTCTTCTTACAGGACTGAAAGAGAAAAACAGAGGATGGAGACCATATTGCTTATTAAAGAGCGGGTCATAGCATATCTTGCTCAGCTAGATCACGAGGTAAGTGTTCATTAGTGCAAGTAAGCACTTTTGCTTCCGCTTCGATACTTTAGAGTCATCTTAAAAGTGATCTAAACTTCTCTGTTTCTGTTCAACTGACGATATTATCGATACAGTAATGGCAATCAAGTCTTGAGCACCGTTTTGCAAGAAGTACAGTTAGTTGTGAACGTAATAACTAAGAGAGAAACTCTTTCGATGTTTATAGACAGACTATGTAGTTCTTGGCACTGCTCAGTCTATGGGCGTGATGGATTCTTCCTTGTGGTAAGTTGAATCTACGTTTAAATCAGCAGATTTTAACAAACAGATTATGCTGGAGCTGGAACTGTTGCAAGAATGCATTAGAGAATGCAAGGACTAGAAAGAAATTTTGCACTTTGTAATATTTTTTGAGTAGGTTGATTTTTCCAGCTTGCTGTATTCACGTTTCGATGGAACTTTGAACGCAAACATACAAATACAAAATATATGCCACAAATTCCATCAAGAACTATGATTTTTTTTKAGTTTTCTTTTGATGCTTTTGGGAAGGGTCCATTCATATCTGGAACCGCTTAAAAGTACGAACATTTGCTCAAACTTACTAGTAATTATTTCTCTATTGACACGGTTTTCTTTGTTATTCACAAGGCTTTATTTTTGTTATAACCTTCATTATAAATGCGAGGTCAATATATAGTCAGTTATTAACCGGTTAATAACTATATATAGACTTCGCATTTATAATGAGCAACATTTGATAGAAAACTGATTGATAAATTAGCTTGCACTGGTCCCCTTGGTTTTCGTGTATCGCCAACTTCTCCTTTCCCCCTCCCTTTCTTTCCCTTTTCCCTCGTCCCCAATCCCCTAGAGCCGCGCCACGCAGGCTATGTTGACCTCTTCATTATTAGGCTACATATTGGTCTCTGAACGAAGCTATAGACGTATATACTTATTTCAATAAAGTTAGTCACCAAAAACCTAGAATCATGGGAAAATGTTTTATATCCAACAAGTAAAGCTTTTGACACAAACTGCAGCAGTTGAGGATGCTCAGAGGAGGTTAACTTTTAACTGGAAGAAGATCTCAAGTCCTGAAATAGCGTGTTTCGTTCGAAAGAATTGTGTCGATTTGGCTCTACGCGGGCATAGTTGAGTAAGGCTAAAGTAAAACTTTATTGTGTCAGACAAACCAGTCACAAACAGGCTAGGGAAAAGGTTGAGGCCGAATTGAGGTCGACAAGTAATTGGCTAGATCGAGTCTCATAGTTAGTTTTTGTAATAACTCTTGCCGCGCGATTTTGAAGTTTTTGAAGTCGATCACTTAGCTGTTGACTTAAGCCACTCCACACCGTACTACAATAGTCGAAGTGGGGCTGGATACATATGCGTTTTATAAATTTGAATGGCAGTACTGATCGAGATAAAAGGACGCACGCGTTTTAAGGCTCCTATGCAAGAGGAGACTTTCTTGATAACATTTTGAATGTGTATAGACCAATTCAAATTTCTGTCTTTTGTAACGGCGAGCGACTTCGTATGATCGGCGTTTTTTAATTTCGTTATCGCCAATCGTTACTTTTATTGGAAAATCGTCATGTTCAGTAAATTTTTGGCGAGAGCTAATAATCATCCATAAATTCAGTTTTGGTAACATTTAAACTTAGCTTATTGCTAAGTAACCGGCCATTTATGGATGTTTCTAATTTCTGCATTGAGTACAGGCTCAAGATCTGGAATGTTGTTACCATGAACAGTGATGTTAGTGTCATCAGCAAACATCCGTGCTGAGGCTGAATCCAAGCAGTTAGGAAGATGGTTGATAAAAATTAGAAAAAGTAATGGCCCAAGATTACTGCCTTGGGGCACACCAAATCTTACTGCACTTTGGCCAGACAGGCTTCCGTTTACACATGCTCTCTGTAATCGATTAGTTAGATAAGACCTAAACCAGGAAACTGACAGTTGGTCGACACCATAGTTTACTAGTTTAGTTAGCAAAATCTCATGACCAATAGTACCAAAAGCTTTTTGTAAATCAATGAAGATAGCACCATTAAACAAGCCCCTGCTTCTATTAAGGCAGTTAGAGTACTGTGCAGTGTACGGAAGCCTGATTGGCAAGTCGCTAACAATTCATTTGTATTTAAGTAAGTATAGAGTTGGTCAAATACAATTTTTTCGAAAATTTTAGATATAGTGGACACTACTGAAATTGGCCTGTAWTTATTTACATCATTTTTGTCTCCTTTTTTAAAGATAGGTGCTACTCTGGCTAATTTCCACTCGCGCGGAAATGAGTGCCCGTCATGATAGATTGACCAAAAATTTCAGCTAGGGATGGTCCAACGATTTCGGCTGCTAATTTTAACAAGTTATTGGGAATTCTATCAAGATTCACTGCTTTGTTCACATCAATACTGCTTAGAAGATCCAAGGGCGCCAGGACAGACGGATTTGGTTTTAAATATGTGCGATTGTTTCAGTTATTTGTAGATTTCTAATTGAATTGATATATCTTTGTTTCTAAATGGATACTAAATAGTGTTCACTTATCTTTCCAACCAACGGTCTTTCTGGTGAGCTAGGAGGTCTGTACCATGTACTAACTAGATGAGGTTTGGATCGAGGTTTAGTGATTTCAATGGTCAAGACTTCAAGTAATTCGTCATCAAGATCACTACGAATTTCGTAATTTAGGTTATTTCTTATATAGAAACTAGCTATATCAAACTGTGGTATA